TTGTGCTGTGTTATAATAAACATAACGGGGAGGGGTGGGGAATCTGTGTGATGTGTTACATTGACGAAGGAAGTTCAAGTTCAAGTTTTATTTACCAAATGCAATACAGCATATAGGTTATACAATTACATCACACATGGTTCATAATAAAGTACAATATACAAGATGGCAGAGGATAATTCCTTTTTCACATTAAACATATACATTTTACCGACCCACAGGGGCTTTTCTTTTGGCAGTTGCATGCAATAAATATTTACTTAGTTTACTTAAAGGGGCATCACGGTGAAGTAACTTTATTTTTTGTCTTTTTTTCAAATACTACATAAACATATCACGTGAGACTCCTTATGGAAAATAACGATCGAATTTGGCTGAAATAGATTAATAAAAATGATTAAATCTAAGAAAATCATCGGTATTTCTACCTGTCTGACCAACGTTTTGTTCAGGGAATTCCCTCTTCTAGCGCATGCGCATAGCACACCATTTCTTTGTAAACAAAATGACTGGCCGTGTGAAGTAAGCGAAAGAAAAGTGTTGTACCGTGTCAGCTACGAAACGAAAAGTTGCCAAATGGTCAAAAGATAGCGCAAGGAGTACGTTACGGAATCATTATTGCAGGTGGGCAGTATTCAAAGGAGAAAATAACTGCCGTAGCAGTTAGTACGGTGCATGTATTCTTCCGGATAGCCGGTTAAGCTGAAATGGAATCGACAGAAATGCTAGCGCTGTTTATATTATGAATAAATATCTAAAACTATTAAGCTCGCTAGTATCTCTGTGTGAGTTTGAACACAGATGAACTTAGTTCAATATGTTAATGGGCATGTATTGGAGAGAGTTTACTTTGTGTTTCTATAATTATACAGTGGTTTATGCGAAAGGAAGGGATAAGTGACTGGTTAGTTTGATTTTTCCATGAGGCCCTCCAAGGGATAACTGTTGTGATGGCCCACGGCGTATTTTCTGGGTCACCGAGATACGTGTTATCGAAGTCCGTGGATTTACATAATTTATAATATTACCGGGTTCAATAAAATGGTATGATTTAATTATATTGCTGAATTAAACGATTATTTTTGTTTTTACATGCAAGATTTAAATTAGTACTAATATGAATACCCGGCCTCCTCTGCCCCGGCAACATATAAAAAAAATCAGAAAGGTTTGTCCCTTGGTGTAGGGAAGGTGTTTAGCCCCGTACCATCTGTACCGGCCACATTTCGGTACTAAATTCAATATATATTTAAATATATCTACTTTATTTTTATGTCTATTATCATTGTTGACATTTAATTGTAAATGTATGACGGGAGAAGGCTGTGATAAATTGTAAAAACTTGTGCCCCATCCCTTGTTTAATTTTATTGGCAACAAATTTATGTTTAAAGCTAAATAAATTTAAATTCTGAACATTGGCAAGTGGTTAATTAACTTCTAATGATGAATAATTACTGTTCAATAAGTTTGAATACGGACTTAGAAATCATATAACTTGGTTTCATAGTGCCGTAAGAGGTTGCAATTGCCTGACGGCCCCTTTCTGGGGGCCCCTTTGGAAACCGTTTCATCTCGCTCGCACCACTTGTGTTTACTGCCTAGTCAGGTGACGTTATCGGCGCTATTTTTAGCATGGCTTTCCCGAACAATTCAAATGGTCAAACTGGACATTTGGAACGGACTATGAATATGGGGATAGCGAGGTAACATAAGTGGAAGTGCATACAATATATACATTCATTAAAAAAAAAACGCCTTTTCACGTGATGTCCCTTTAAAGTTTTAACATTTTTACATGAAAATAAGTTAAAGGGTATCAATTCATTTAAAATATCAATAAAGGAAACATTAACATGGAGACCATTGAAAATGTACAGGGAAAAAAAGACCAGGTATCTCGGAAGGAGTAGCGTCCTAATTAGCTTCACCGACAACCAAATTAGTCAGGTTTTTTTTATATAGCTTAGAATTAAACCGTCCTTGTTTGTCATGTTCTAAGTACAATTCGAGGAGAGCTGCTGGTGTAGATAAGTCGGTGATGCCCTTGATATCAAGTTCAGGAGGGAACATGTATATGCGATAGACAAATACTTGTTCTGTGTCCCAAAATCTCGTACGGTGCTTTTGCAGGGTTTCGGTATTTTTTTTTAATAGCTTACCACCTGCTACCAGGAAGTTAAAACTCTGGCTTAATTAAAGAAGGATATGCAGACGTCATGTGAAAAAGTTATATATAAGGATATATATGCATATGGCGATGAATGTGTCGTCCCTGACTATCTAATGCTTATTTGAATGCCTGTTTATCTACCATAGCTATAACTGTCACTGTGTGAATACTATCATTCATGTGCTGTAAAGCGCATTAGAGTAATTTTACAGATTATATAGGACGTATGTAAATGTTCCATATGATTAGTATAATTTATACAGTCATTTTTTTTATTTTTTTTTATTTGAAGTTTGCAAATCGTCAGTATTTCTAAATGTGAAATTGAAGGACTTTAAAATGTGTTTGTTATCAGTCCTGAAAAGCTCTTTAATACATTCAGTATAATATGAAAACAAAAAGAAGTCGGCCAGAAGAGGGACATAGTTTGTTTCAATAGGATTGCAGTCGGATGGAAAATCTTGCCAATGACTTGAACAAAGATATTGTCGAGCAGGAACTCAATCATTCTCTTAATAACAATAATAATCATTTATAACATTTATATAGTTTATTATATAAATTGTAAACTTACCCTTTAGCGCTTTACACAGCATTAAACATTAAGTGCGAAGACGATTATCTCAATATGCATATACATTAATATAAAGGTTGGGCCTTAAATGCAGACGTGAAGAGTTGGGTTTTATATCCTTCTTGAACTTAGCAAGGGTTTTTGACTTCCTGTTAGCAGATGGTGAGCTATTCCACAACGTGGCCGAAACCCTCCCAAAGTACCGGTTTCAATAGGTCATAGCTCTCGTATGTTTTCACAAAATTTGCTCCAAAATAATTTATATACTTATTTTATTTTTATCGCCGTTCGCCTTTCGAAGCTGTCATAAAAAAAATAAAGAAGTTCGTTTATTTTGGTATGAGGAATGGTGTAGCATTAAGATTGTCAAATGTTGTGGTGGTATAGAAACAATTTTGAGTTTGCTTAAGATTGATCAAAAGATCGTTTGGGTTCTTAAATACACGGAGTCAAAATACGCCTGTGGCCTTAATGTTTTGGTGTTAAGAGTAACGTTCGGATAAAGGTTGGTTAGGCATCCAATACAGCCGAGGTGGAACAATTTGTGCTTAAGGGTTCTGGTTCTTCTGAACGATGGATCTAATACATTTCATTTCTCTGGAAGTGAATCTAATCCAGCAAGCTCTAGTTTTGCCAATTGTCTGGCGTGGTCTTCCACAGATTCCTATTGATAGTAGGAGTCTTCCGATTTCACCATCCTTTATGAAAAGCTCTTGTAACTATGAATTATAAATTATATTGACGTCGCCAGTTACTGCGTGGGTAGCTGGACCAGAGTTGTAGGAGGAGGTAAAACTAGAGCATGCTAAGGAAGAAGCTATTCTAAATCCATGTTAAGTCAGTGTAAAATAACGCCAAATAAACATATAACGAAAAAAACAAAAATATAAAAAATATACATCTTTAATATACGGTAAACAGGAGCTAGCATTACTACATGTAGTAAGCAGTCAACATAAACATCGTAGGAATGTCTGAATATTGTATAAAAAATACTGACTCACAGAGTCTACACAACTCAACGATAATCATTTGTATACTGTAGTATCCCCAAACTGTTCTTGTGCACGAGTTGCACGAGAATCCAGATCTCAATGTAAACAGCATGCAGATTTAAATATGTTTAAAATGATAGCACTTTATATAGAAAGTCTCATTGTATACCAAGGGCGATAACTACGTCCGGTATAAGTTCAATTCATAGCAAGGGCGATAACTACGTCAGGCATATCTCCATTGGAGAATACTGATCATTCCTGGCAGAAGTCAAAATATAATTCATTCGATAAATCTATAAAATACTCAAAAAATACATTATCAGCAATGTTGTACAGAAGGCAAATAAAATACTCAACTTAGACAACTAACTCATTATAAGCAAATAAAACACTCAACTTCGACAACTAACTCATTGTCAGCAAATAAAATACTCAACATATAATCAATAATTGTGTACAGGAGGCAAATACAATCATAAAACCTTATGCAACAGTCATGGTAGTGGACAAATAATTCAGAATAATGTAATAATATCAAACTTACAGACGAACAAATAATATCATACAACAGTTCTTTACAGATTACAATTACATTAAAATATATCACACGCGAAGTGGGGTTAAAAACGAGGACACTGATAATTTGCTGAAATACTTGTAGAGATTATTCAAGTTTGAAATAAATGCTTTACATTTATATATCAACTGTAGAAACATACTTATGTTAGGAATTACACATTAGCTATCGATACACAAATGTCGCTAGATGTACAATGTATATATTTATACACTGATAATCCTCCAGTCATTCGTCATTCGTCGGCGCAGACACCTTTAAAATATGGTACAGAACTATTGGGATTTCTATGTGTGTGGGTATATAAATAGAGCACATTTGATTGGCTTATAAGATTTTACCGGGCTAAATGTTGTTCGCTGCGTAGGTGTGTGAAACCCAGTCACCTATGAAATCGAGTATGTGTACGGCGCGTCTACTATACGACAGTCTGCTTACCTGGGCTAGATACATACTATAGGGGTTTAGCTACCTTGGTGCGTGCTATTTTATAGCAGTAACATAGGCGTTATCACCAGCCGATATTTAAAATAAAAAGTATTTTAAAACAAACAAGAACCTGCAACCAGGTCAATCGGCAATATGTTTTGCTGCAGTTTTTACATGGACTTATACTTTGACTATCTTAATAATAACTTTAAAGATTTGATATATAGCCCATGCTACTACTTTGTATCAGACCTCTTTAACAGGTTCAATATCATTTTGTTAATCATAATTTACAGATTGTATTTCTTCTTCAGTTTACGTAGGCATCGTCTGCGAAGTTTCCCGGTTTTCTTCATACATCTTTTGCGCATTGCCTGCCGACTTTTGTTGCCTTTGCGTCCACGTCGGCCACGTCGGCCCCGTCGGCCCCGTCGTCCTCCCTTTTTACCCTTGTTGTGACGTCTGGACCTTCGTCTTATAGATGTGGTGCATGTGTATGTTTCGTCATTGTCATTGATACATTCTTCCCAAGAGTCAATCAGACCGTTCAAAATACGGGAACTCTCTAAAAGTGTGCATCTCTCAAATTCGATTTTCTCCGAGTTGGTTGCCTGCGATTGAAATGGAAGTGGGCAGTAACGAGGTGAGCACAGTTTGCGTTGGTAACGTAATGCGCGATTTCTGCGGAGGAGTGCACACACCACTCTGTTGGTGCTGTCTCGTACATCAACATAGTTCCCAGATCGCCCCTCCTCAAGCTTACAGTCAGCATATTCTGTTTTGACAGCTATGTGTGTAATTTTTTTAAATAGTACTTTCAGGTAGTCGTTCTGAAAAAAGAAGACAAACAAAAGTTTGAACATACTATTTTCTGAAACAAAAACTGCAAGCAATACTACAACCTTTAAATGTACTATGTCATATGTATTATGTACATTTTACTTTAGTGTGAATTATAATATCCGATACTTTATATAGAGGGACATACACGTCATTGTTAATATTTGTAATAACGTACCATGTTCATCTGTCGTGGTACAGATCCTTCACCGCCAACTTCACACTCCGAGTCGACTGGCCTGTGTGTATCTCTCTGCAAGTAGAGAAACAATATTAGTTAGTTATCCGAAAGGTGACAGGACATACAACGTAGTCACTGTAAAGGTAGTAACAACCTCTGTTAACAATCGGCCGTGACAGACAATGGAAACACCATAGCTAGGTTAGGATAGATCAGATTTAATCATATAGTTAGCATTGATAACATTTACAGGGATAATCATAGAAGGGGCCATGTGACCATTGACCCCTCAAAACTGAAATGGACCCCTTCCTGTTCCAATTTTCGTTTATTTTACATAGAATGGCGCCTCTTAAATTTAATATTGACTGAAAATTGCCAAAAGCGTCCCACTGCTCCTACCTCGAAGGATGTTCCCTGTATTTAAATTGTTTTGATTTTTTCTATTGACTGAAAAAAATCATAACATTGTAGTTGTGACGATTGCTCCACCCTACACACTACGATTGCTCCACCCTACACACTACGATTGCTCCACCCTACACACGATTGCTCCACCCTACACACTACGATTGCTCCACCCTACACACTAGGGAGTCTGGACGTTACAGACGGACCGAAAGGTTCTCAAAGCAAATGTTTAGACTGACACGACTGACATTATAATTATTTAATATTTAATCCTTAAGTTCAATAAACAGTGTTTGTCTGAGGTTCTTGAAGTTTTACAAGGTGATGGTATTTTATATCCACAAAAACACTCCAATGGAAATGATATATTGTATCTCTGGTATAGATGTATCTTAAGTGTTTATACACAAAAACACTCAAATGAAGATGATATCTTGTATCTCTAGTATATGTATGTACAACAACACTTACAAGGTCAGTCAATTTTATATCTATAGATGTCTTGAGGTGATAGAGAGCGATATTGATTTCATCCTTCATTGGCGCCGCTAGTGTGGACGTGATGGCCTGATCGACGTCGCCTATAGCTCCGGTACCTTCACAGGCCTCGCAGAAGTTCGTACGTCTCTCACATCGAGAGGCATGCACACGCATAGTTATGTCGGACAGAAGCAAAGTGAACGCTGCCAAATCTGAAAAAAATATAACAAATGTCATGGACAAAAAAGTATTGTTATACATGAAAATATGAAGTGTACGCATTCTAGAACACGAAATATATTAAGAACGCATGCTTTTAACTGTAAACTAAAATAATTAAGAAACATGAATAGATGATAAATGTTGCAGGTAAAACGTTCCATCATATGATCACCGACTCAAAACTTGATTAAAATAAATGAATTATATCAGTTACAAACGGCATGTATATATATTATATTATACTAGACTTACACATATAAAGTCGTGCCATTGTGTTTGAGGTTTGGGTTTGTATGAATTGTGAACCATTTTGATACTGTATATATATGATAACGGCGAGGAAAATACGACAGTCAATGAAAAGTTTCAGTTCAGTTACTGTTTCTATACACATGTACCACCTCAGACCATACACACACTTGTGTAGGTGTTCACAATGTGTGATGCGTCACTGACCGGGACCAGCTTGTAAAGCCACGGATGACTGCTAGCTCTTCATGAAAGTCTTTAGGGAACCGAAATATTATTATATATATAGTACTTAATTGTTCTTACAGAAATTAACATATATGTGCCGTATTGTCACTGTTTCCTGTTTCTTATGTAAACAGATCGATGTTAGTCTTGCACGAGTTCTGAGCGATTGTAAACAAGGTATAGGTGATATCGGTTGTATACCGAGCACCTTTGGGAGATATTATATAACCGTATACTCTCCTTCACCACTGTTCTGTCCTTGTTTGAGCCATTGTCTCATCTTTCAGCCTGTGTGGGAAAGAGGAAAAGGAAAAATTTACATACATATGTATCTGTTTTCTTCCCATTTCTCATTCGTTTTTCTCTCAAATTATCTCCCTTCCTTCTTTCATCTCTGTTCATGTATATATATATGTATATTTAGAAATTTGTTTGATATTGTCGACTTGCAATTTGGATAATTGTTTTTAATTGAGACAACTTGGCTTAATACCTCTTGTTGCTCGACCAATCAAATTTGTTAACAACATGAAAAGTTCTGTCAATGTCTCAAAGAACAAAATTGCATGGCATCGATTTTCATAATCAGATCACATCATATCTAAACTGTTTGGATGATATAGAAAACCATTGTTTCTTATGTTTCTTAAACTGCACCATCCTTGAAGAGTAAGGGCAAAATACTCAGCACTTGCAATATATAACTCATCTCTCCTTTAGAATATGGAGTTTACATTGATGGTTCAAACGTATTATGTACACTTACTGTGATTGGCTCAGACCCCACAGAATACACCGGCATACGGAACAAACCAGAGTTATCTACTTGGTCTAAGACTTCTTGTCTTTCGGCTTTACTAATAATCAGAATGATTTCACAAGAAATTGCATTAATTTATAAAAAAATGTATAAAAGGCTTGCCGATGAAAGGATTTAACTAATGACTGTTGTTTTTAAAAGTTTTAATGTAAGACACACACAGATATTTGCACCGTTCATATCATAAAAGATACAATATGCAAAAAAAAAATTAAAAAAAAAATTGAACCAACAAATTAATTAAATTGCACCAATGAAACCAATAAATTAATTAAATTTCAGGACTCAACGGTGATGGAAAGGACAAAAAAGGAGGTTATTCAAATTTGTCCAAACTACGGAAAAGGGGAGATGCTGAAAATCTCTTTCTTAAATGAATTTCCAACATAAGAGGAGTAGTGATAAATTCAAATCCCATCTCCTTTTTTTACATAAATAATGAGCATGTGTATTTTTGTTTAAATGCAACCCTGCCTCCCCGTTCCTACTTTGTTATTTGTCGCTATGAGGTTTTTCTCGGAACATAGCAATTTCCGTGATAGAGGTCAAGTACTGAAGGACAAACCTTTGGAGTGTTTCGAGTGTTCCAAGTTGATGACCTTTTCCGTTCTCGATCATGATCTTATTTGGAAATATTTTACTTCCTCACGTGAAATTACTATGGAAATGATTGATTATGCCCATAAGTATGCCTTGATGTTTGTTGTCACTAACTCCGACCTCACTTTGTGATCCTAGCACTACTCAAATTTCATCTAGATTTGCAATTTGGGTGTCGTCGATGAAGAAAAAACACCGCTCACGTTTCTTTATCACATTTTGTTAATTCCTTGCCCATTTTTAATAGTCATCTTGTAAATGTTTTCTTTGCTTATATTTTACGTAAGTTTTTTGGAGTCGATAGAAACAGACAAATCCTGAGACAAAACAAAAAATGTCCCGGAACGTTAAAACCTAGACGAGCCGGAAGGGTTGACCAAGCTTTTCGGAAGGATTAACCCAGATGTGCCGGAAGGGTTAACCAAGCTTTTCGGAAGGATTAACCCAGATGTGCCGAACCCAGATGTGCCGGAAGGGTTAACCAAGCTTTTCGGAAGGATTGACCCAGATGTGCCGGAAGGGTTAACCAAGCTTTTCGGTAAGATTGACCCAGATAACCCGGAAGGGTTAACCAAGCTTTTCGGAAGGATTAACCCAGATGCTTCAGAAGGATATATTTTTGCACCATATACAACATCCGTAAAGATGCCCAACTCGGGAAAACATGTAGGCTACCCATGAGCGATCAAATAGAGCAGGATTTCATTATGGTGAACACTGATTTACCTACGATCAATTAATTTAACGTATTGATAAACTGTTTTACATCTAAAGGGGGTATGTCGTTCAAAACTGAAGCAGGCTGTGTGGTCGATTTCAACTTTTTTGTTTTTGAATATGTTTAGTTAGTGGTAACATACTTATGACCAAGCGGTGAGGATGAAAAAGTTGATCGTTTTATCTTTCATGAGAAACTTGTATAGGATATTATAGTTAAAGTTACAGTACATGGTATATATAGTTCACTGGGGGTAAGCCGAACCATCTATTACAGAGAAATATATAATTATTTTCATAAAAAAACAATGCATTGTCTTTATTAAAAAGGAAAAATACATCAAAATATTAAAAGTAAAGTTAACAGTGAATAGTGAAACATTAACAGTTCATTGATAATATAATACTGCTGAGATAACCTACACAATCTTATTTATTTTCTCTCTAAATTGGGTAATCGCAATTTCTGTAGTTTGCGAAACTAAAATTGGTAAATGTTCGTTTCCCAATAATTGCCATATAAGAATGGATAGATATTTGTACTGGATGTGTAAGATATATAACCTACTCACTCTTATATATTTTCTCTCTAAATTGGGTATACGAGAAGTGATATGTTCTTCAGTTTCCAAATTTCTGTAGTTTGCAAAACAAAAATCGGTAAATGTTCGTTTCCCAATAGTTGCCATATAACAATATATATAAATTTATACGAGATGTGTTTGGATAAAGTATTAATAAAACACTGACTCATGCTATAGTCATCAGTGACATAGAAATATTTGTGTGTGTATGTAATTTCGTGGATTCCTAACTTTACCCACAAGTGATAACAGTTTGTGTTTGCAGTATCGAGATCATGAAACCTTATCGTAATCTAGATTATCAACCTGGACAATGCTAACAATCTAACCAATCGGACAGGTACAACACACCTGACCAATGGCCTGGGATATATGGTAGCAACGCCCACCACCCATTAAGATTGGGGAGACCCAGGTATCGGCCAACCACAGGGATCAGATGCCCCCAAAGTAATTATTAAACAGCTAACACGATTGGCTCTAAACACAAATGATACATAACTCTTTGTTAAAATATATATGAAATGATCGCTTCCAAGTGATATCACTCTGGAAACCAAAATCGTTCTATCGAATTTCGAAACGAAAGTGAAATAATGCGGGCTCTTTTAGCAGCAATTGTTACTTTCGATTTAAAAAATAGTTTAAATAAGAGCGATCCCTATACAACACAGTTTAAATTCTGTTTACAAAAATGATCTTGCATTGTTTATGTTCAATTTGATAAACATCAGTTTTTAGTGTCTGTTCGGAAGTGTGGTAAACTATCACTATAATTCAGTGTAAAATATCACTATAAGTCAGTGTAAAATATCACTATAAGTCAGTGTAAAATAACACTATAAGTCAGTGTAAACTATCACTATAATTCAGTGTAAAATATCACTATAAGTCAGTGTAAAATATCACTATAAGTCAGTGCAAAATTGAAATAATCTGGGGACGCCGTGGCCTCATACAATATCATTTCCTGTTGCCTTTCACTGATTTTACTCTCGATTTGACTTATTTCTCAATCATCTTTCATGCTGAAAATAAACTATTCGCCGTTGTGGTGTAACTCTTCATTATATGATGACGTCATATTAACTCCTCCTTATCAGATTACGTCATATTGCACATGTGGCGTCGAAAGTATTGCTTATCAGCGAAACATCATTTTATGGATAGAGAAAATTATTATTTGATTTTATATAAAAAAAATAATCACTTTTGTGTTGTGGTTTTGATGTCATACAATCAAAAAATGGAAATCTTCCATTAGCCATAGATACGGAGCCAATGGGAGCACAGACTTTATGATGTATTTTGAATCCATATATTATGATATGTTCACCTATGCATGAGTGTATGTTGAATTGGTATTATGTTTCAATTTTGTAAATACACAAGTTGATGTAGGTTCAGAATACAGTAAAAACAGGAAGAATTTCGAAGTGTCAGCTCAACCATAATTTGAATTTGTAATTGATCAAACTAGGGCAGAATAGGAACAAAGGCATGCCTTACATGGTGACCATTGATAAAATAAGGAGAAAAAGACATATCGAGCCTTCCAAAACACACACGCATATACTACACGCATGTATCTTGCACACAGGGGAGGCCGTCCTTAAATGACCATAGTTGTTGATAGGACGTTAAACAATACTAAACCAAACCAAAAACCTTCGTATCACACAAAGATATGACATATTTCCCTATGATAGCACTATAAATCTTGGCTATAGACCTTCGTTATACAGTCATAAACATTAACCGGGAGTTGTTTACCTAACACAACTGCAGTAACAGATTTACTTACTGCTTTAATACAAAAAAATCTTTTTTTTTCTATAAATTAACTTTTTAAAGAAGAATCTTCTATATTTGAACTAATCTTTGACTGCAGGCTAGCCTTGTTTTGTTGATGTGTTTCATGTTGCAATACTATTTCATAGTGAGTGTTTATCTTTTTGTTGTGTTATGTGACATGTACATTTTTTTATTGAGGAAGGGGCGGATCGCTTAAACAAATTGTTAAAAAAACATTTTGACTGTACAGTCAATATTACTTGATTTGTCAATATATATACAG